AGGACGAGTTGCAGCGCGTGGTGTGCGATGTAGGACGTGCAAGTGGGACACTCTATTTAACTTGACGCGAAATCCCTATAGTACGCGCGCGACTCGTCCGCTGACTTTGCCTTCTTGCCGCGCGACGGGCCTCCTGGGGGGTACCCGAGTGAAGTCATCTCGGGAACGCATCGTGCCTGTTGTGTAGGTAGGTGACATCGAGCTTTCCCTAGGATCTTCTTTAATTCATCGATGCTTTAGTGATACTTGTAGCAGCCCATCGTCTTCAGTAGACTCCACGGAAAATAACCCACTTGCTTTAAAATGGGAGAATAAGGTTGCCCTCGTTTAATGTCATGAATTCGGAAAGTTCTGCAAAACCAATGTTGCACAATATTTGCTTTGTGCACAGGCGGTCTATCTTGCTGTTGTGTCCAGTGATTTCTCTCCGGGGTCTCTTCAGCCAGATGCATTTATTAGGTTCGAAGGAAATCGAGATGTTTGTTAGCGCTCTTGTTACCGTAATTTTTGCCCACCCTGGATAACCATACTTCTTGTGCCGTAACAGCGCCATCAAAAAACGCACCTTGTCGTATCTGTTCCTATCGTAATCCATGCCGTAGAGAATGTTGCCCCGCATCGTATGATTGAGTATCCATGGCGTCTGGGGCACATAAGCGACTGAGCCGCAAACCTTTCTTACACCATCTAGTTGAGTCATTTCACCTGCAAAAAAATTAAAATGGTAGCAGCTGGATGCACAGCGCCAACAACTCTTCTCGAAGTGAATTGAAATTAAGGTTTGTGCATATTAAACTAGTGTTTTTATTCGGCTTAAACACTGCGAAGCTCGATTCACGCCATCCAACCAAGCTACTCAACTACTTGTCAACGAATTGATGCTACGATCTTTTCCCAGTACATCACCTTCTCGCAGTCTTACCAAACGCGCTTTATGAATAACAGTTCTGTCCCTGCTGCAACTGCAGAAAAATCTCTTTCTCTTCTCAAATCCACTTCTGAGATCATCACCCCGTGCAGCTAATACGTATGCAAAACCGAATATATAGTACGGAAATAGGCAGGGATAGCCGAGTGGTTAAGAGGTTAGACTCATGTCTGCACCTCTGAAAACCGCGAGTTCGATCCCTGCCGAGGCTAACCATGCCTTGCAAAAATTGCAAAAATGGTTCTAGTACCAGCGTCAGGCCCAGGTTGACAGGCCGGCTGATGAACACCCCAGTCACACCAAAACATGTCTAAAAGTCGCAAAAGAATCAGTGTTAATGCTAGGACGTCACCCGGAAGTGGCGCGCAGAACCCCCGCCCGAGTTCTGTGGTCAGTATGCGAGGGCTACCGAGGAGGGAACGGCCTCGGCCAAAGAAGCTAGTTCGAATAGGGACTCTGAACGTAGGATAACTGGGAAGTCCCGAGAGGTTGCTGATCTGATGACGCGCAGGAATATCCAAGTCCTATGCCTTCAGGAGACGCGATGGAAAGGTGCTAAGGCCAGGGAAATCGGGGAAGGTGTCAAACTCTACTACAATGGGGAAGACACCAAGCGGAACGGTGTGGCCATAGCGGTAGCGGAGTCGCTCAAGGACTATGTCTCCGCTGTGAACAGGATCAGCGATCGGATCATGGCTGTGAGGATAGACACGAAGGAGGGGTACTGGACCATACTCTCCGTGTACGCACCGCAAGCCGGATGCCCCGAAAGTGACAAGGTCGAGTTCTATCTCAGCCTTGACGATGCCATCAGAACGATTCCGGAAGGTGACTACCTCACCATAGCAGGTGATCTGAATGGTCACGTCGGCAGTGAAAGAAGAGGCCTGGAAAGGGTGCACGGAGGTAGAGGAATAGGAGTGAGGAACGCCGAGGGAGAGAGGGTCCTGGACCTGGCTACGGCCCACGATCTGGCAATCTGCAGCACGTTCTTCGCGAAAAGGGAGACTCAGAAGGTCACCTACAGCAGTGGAGGGGCGACAAACCGAAATCGACATTGTGCTCGTGAAATGATCATCGCTCAGAACTATGAAAGACATACAACGAAAAAGTTTGTTGGTTGCTGCATGCGCAAAATCTTTTTTGCCTCCAT